TATTAGACTTTTTGAAGTTTTATTTTTAAATTTTTATCCAGCAAATTTTTATTTTGGGGTTGCAGTTACTAATAGGGCAGGATAAGTAAAATTTTTTGTTATTATCTCTAGCTTTCGCAAAATTTATTTGCTTCTTCAGGATATGCTAAAATATGCTAACTAAAGTCCCCAGTGAGTATGTAAAGATTGTGAGAGATATGATTATGCCTCCTCTACACATCGGCAGACGCGTCCGCGGACGACATCGACGTATGCATCTGGAGATGTGTAGATGGGGTAATTTGATCATCTGTTGTTTATATATCACGTCCGCGGATGCGTCTGCAAGATATCCGATTGTTGTCGGTTTCTTAAGCATAGATCAAAGGGTTTCGGTGCGGACGTTCGACGCCTTTTCATTTTTTTAATGCTTGCGTAGATATTGCGTCTCTCGGGAATTAACACAGACTGAACGATTTACAGATGTGTCCAGATGTGTGGTCAGCTTGTGATGATACATCTGTAGATGCGTCCGCAGACGCGTCTGCCGATGTGTAGTGGAGGCATTAGAACATACATATTTCAGAGGACTAATTATATTCATGTGAAAGTAGGATTATATAATGAATCACTGGTATTCAACACCATACCCAATATGGGTTGATAACATTAAAAGAATAGCCGGAACAAATTGGAAATATGTTGCTCAGGATAGAGAACGATGGAAGGAGTTGGGAGAGGCATATGTCCAAACATGGACGACAGAAGGCTAAGCAGAAGACCCAATATCGACCTATTACAATATAAATATATTGTTTTACGGTTTAATAGTAGAATTCAATTTAGTTAATGACTATTATAATTGGCAGCTGACAAAAGTCAAAAGATCGGCTTATTAGCTTGAATAACCAATATTCAAACTAAAATTAGTAAAATTACCCTTGCGAGTTCTCATTTCAATTGTTTTGTAATTTTTCTAGAAACTTTAGAACACTTAAAGTTTGACATTTTTCTGTAAATATTGAAAAACTAGAACATAAGAGGCGGGGTCTTTGTTCGGGAGCAAACAAAAACCTAGCTGAATATAAATATTTTCTTTTAAATTATAGATTCATGAAAACGGGTAAAATATTTTAGACAGTATTGCAATAAGCACTTACGTAATACTATCTTTTAAATATTTTTATATTACAATCTCTTTCAAACTATGTGTAAAATATAAAGCTTTGTTTTGGAAGCTATTATTACTGTGCAAAGCAAAATGTTAATATTACATTCATACACACATGTAGTACAATAGTATTGGCCTAATTCCTATTTAAAAAACAGCATAATTTTAATTCAACTGGTACACTTTTTAATATGTATTCTTATGGGGCCGTATTAGAATTTAAATATAGAGGAAAGAAAGGGCAAGAGAAAAACGCCAGACAATGTTGCGATCACCGTACCATCAGTCTAATGTGCCACATACTAAAAGTATTCCTAAAGATTATTCATCGTAGAATATGCAAAAAGTTAGAATAAGACATTGGACAAACTCAGTTCGGATTTAGAAATGCTCAAGGAACAGAGAAGCATATATATGCAGTAAATGTGCTAATACAGAGATGTCTAGATGTAAACCAGGACATCTATGTCTGCTTCCTAGAATATAACAAGGCATTCGATACAGTGAAACATAATCCGTTAATAATATTACTGAGAACAAAGAACATCGACACACGAGATATAAGAATAATAAATAATCTGTATTATGAACAAGAAGCTGTCGTAAGAATGAATACTTCAAAAACTAATAAAATAAAAATCAAAAGAGGCGTTAGACAGAACTGTGTCTTGTCGTCATCACTGTTTAATGCATACTCAGAGAAGCTACCCATACGTTAAATTAGATATGCTGATGATATACTACTAATAGCAGAGAATATTACAGATCTACAAAGAATTTAAGATTTTTTGGTTTTGCAGCGAGTGAAGAATTTGATCTATCACTAAACATAAAGAAAACAAAATATATGGTTATGTCAAAGAAAAATATTAGATACATCTAGATACGTCAGAATAGAAAAGGCTAGAAGTGCATTCAATAATGTGAAACAAATATTATGTAGAGATCTTAGTCTAGATCTTAGAACACGAGTAATAAAATGTTATGTATTTTCTGTTCTTTTATATGGTGTGGAGATATGGACTTTAAATAAACAATGTCTCAATAAATTGGAAGCATTTGAAATGTGGACATATCGAAGAATGCTGAGAATCTCCTGTACAGACAGACTAACCAATGAAGAAGTACTAAGAAGAATAGAAAACAGCAGGGAGATACTGGATTCCATCAAAATAAGAAAACTACAATATCTGGGTCATAGAACACGTGGTAACAGATATGAATTCCTAAAACTAATAATGCAGCGAAAGATTCAAGGAAAGCGCAGCATAGGTAGAACAAGAATGTCCTGGCTGAGAAACCTCAGAGAATGGTTTGTATGCAGTTTAACTAAACTCTTTCGGGCTTAGTGTCAAAAGTTAGAATAGCAGTGATGATTGCCAACCTTTTTCGTGAGGAGGGCACGTAAAGAAGATAGAGCAAAGGCGTAAGAATAGTAGCCAGACTTCGGGGCTTAAGCATATTATGCAGATGCTTAAAACAGCTAATAGGAAAACAATCAAATAGAGAAACTCCTCTTCTGTTTGTAGGTATACGCAAGTTTCCCTCCTATAACATGATATATACATTCCTGGAATATACCGTATTTTACGTATAAAGTAAATGAAAAATATGGGGCTAGGATCCACAAATCAAAAATAGCGTTTTATAGGAAGTATAACGCAAATATAGAAAAGGGGATAAGAGTCTTCCAAAAGATCTAACATCAAAAGATCTAACATCAACCACACATTGATAAATGCTATACAAGAACTATATAGAGACTCAAAGGCACAGATAAAAACAGGAAAATATCTAACGGAAGAATTCCTGGTTACAAAAGGCTTGCGACAGGGATGCTGTATCTCACCAACCTTATTCAAGATATATGTTGCAGCAGCATTGGAAAGATGGAAAAGAAAGGTGCATAGGATGGGTATAGAGCTTAGCAATGAATGCATATATACACTCCAGTTTGCTAATGACCAGTTAGTACTAGCGATCGACAGGGAAGACATGCAGTACATGCTTAGAAAACTGATAGAAGAATATACTGACTGGGTAATGAATTTCAATACAACAAAAACCAAATATCTTTGTATTGGAAACGAGTCAGATAACATAAACCTCGAAAACTGACAACATATTTTCTGCTGTCAGAGCTATGAGTACTTGGGTGTTGCCTTTGACAATACAGGAACTGATATACGGGAAATAGAAAAACGAATCACTCAAGCAAAGAAAGTCTTAGGATGTCTCAATGGTATGCTGTGGAGTAAAGGGATAACGAAAGAAAGAAAATTTAATATATATGAGACCATGATTAAAACTACTCTTCTTTATGGCGCTGAAACATGGAGAATTAGTGAAAGAACAAAAAGCGAATAGAAGCAGTAGAGATGGATGCAATGAGAAGATCTTTAGGTATTTCCAGACGAGACCGAATCAGAAATGATGTAATAAAACAACGTATGGGAATAGAAGGAAATATAACTCAAGATATAGAGAAGAAACAATTAAGGTGGTATGGGCATGTTCAACGGATGCCAGCAACAAGACTCCCCAAAAAAGTAGTAGAATGGCAACCGATAGGTCGACGGAAAAGAGGAAGACCCAGATTAGAATGGCAACACGGCGTAAACAAGTCCATGAGCGAAAGAAATTTAACAGCAAACGACTGCGAAGATAGGAGAGCGAGATAGAGATGGTGTTTAGGTATCGGACAACGTCGAAAGACGTTCTAAACCGACGTATATATATATATATATATATATATATATATTATATATATATATATATATATATATATATTATATATATATATATATGTATATATAGTAAACTCTTAAATATTGAGGAAATCTGTAAGATTGCAGATTTCCCCAATATTTAAGAGTTTACTATTTAACTTATCTGCAAAGATTACATTTCTTTTCTCTCTCTCTCTCTCTCTCTCTATATATATATATATATATATATATATATATATATATATATATAAGAGTCTTCCATGTACTGTGTATTTTACGAGGTGTTTTGGTAGGATGAATGACAGAATCCTCCGCATAATCTGAACTGGGTCGCCAATGACCTGGTCTTTGCAACATCTGAAAATCCATAGGAAGAAGTAGGTAATACTTGATTTTCCGTACAATTTTGAACGATACAATAATTATACCAAAGGTTCAGTAAAATTACTACTTAATGCACAACAGAATTCCATCCAAAACAAGGTATTAGTAAGTATGTGTTCTGTTTAACAACTATTTTATATGTATGTAAAACATATGATGATAGAGTTTAAAGGATCATAGCTATATTACTATTGACCAAAATATGGAAATACATCAAAACAATAACCGTAAAGATAAGATTGGTCAACTGTTTAGTATTTCCAAACATACAAATAAAAATCGTGGACACTGAGACAATCGATAAGGAGAAATAAATATAGATGCCACTGATGTACAGTTTATGAGGGATGTTACGAATTCCTTGAACCGAGCATTGAAAATAATTCTCTTTTAAGAGAGCTAAAGATGAGTAAGATAGACTACAACTGGGCTCCATCCGACGGTCGAATTCTGAAGAGAAAGATCAATAAGTGAGTCTTGCTTACTAGTGAGCAGTTTACCAACAATTACTTAGTAGCTAATGTTTTATTCAATAACCTTTTATAAATCAGACGAAAAAAAATTAAAGAATTTGGACGAATCTTGAGTTTTTAAATTGAAAGGAAGCAAAAATTTTGGCAATATGGGTACAAATACAAAGTTTGAGAGGTATCTGCTCTAATTTTATATCCTGTCTTTTTCATTTGTTGATGTATTGATAATTTTATAATAAGAATTGATTACGTTATTTGTTTTAGCCGCTCCACGAGAGCAACCGTCGCAGGTCTCCGGTGGGCAGTACTCCGAGCAGACGTCCGAAAGCCACCTCCACCCCTCAACTTTTAGAAGGATCCAGCTCAGATAACAAGTAAGTATTTAGTTATCATTGTAATAGTATTCAGCTAGTGTAGTTGATTATGGTCTTATATTATGCTTCTAGTTACTCAGAAAGAATTAAAGTTTACTAATTAAAGATATTTTCGAAAACGAATAAGATTAGTAAAGAAAATAAAATACAAAATATAATTACAAAAGCACTATTGTTACCATTAGTAATCATAAATAGTTTTTTATAACAAGCCAAGACATATTCTAAATAATAAATTTTGGATGTGCCATCACGCTTTTCAGGTCCGTTAACATCTGGACTCAATATAAACGTTAAGAAGACAAAGCTTATGATAATTAGCAAGAAAAGGATAACGGAAGGTCAACTCTACGACAACCAATCCCTGTAGAAAGAGTGACGCACTACAACTACCTCGACACCATAATAAATGAAGAATGGATCAACAACCAGGAGATTAGAGCACGCAACGGAAAAGCTAGATCCACCCTCAATCGGATGGGGGCCTTCTTTAAGAGTCACAATCTCTATCTTGATATAAAAGTAAGAATGCTGCGATGCTACGTCTTCTCTGTACTTTTTTATGGTGTTGAATCGTGGACCTTGAACGAAGATATGTGCAAAAAATTGGAAGCATTTGAGATGTGGCTATACCAGAGAATACTTAAGAACCCTTGGACTAACCGAGTCATAAATGAGGAGGTCCTCAGAAGAATAAATAAGAACCGAGAGGTACTGACCATTCTTCGGACATATAATGCGAAATGAATCCAAATATGCTCTCTTTCAAGTCATCCTGCAAGAAAAATATTTGGAAAGCGAGGTCCAGGAAGAAGAAGAACATCTTGGTTAAAGAAGCTCAGAATCTGGTTCAATACAACATCTATGCACCTTTTCCGCGCTGCTGCAGATAAGATAAAGATTGCCATGATGATCGCCAACATTCGTAACGGATAGCCACATGAAGAAGAAGAAGAACATCTCGTACCTCAATGATACTACTTTATAGTAAGACATAATAAGTATATAGATAAAGCCCACCATGAGTTCAGAGGATGAAATTTCTTCAGTCACTATTGGTTTTCATGTTTTTTTTGCAGACGTTACTTTTTTCGGCGTAGGTTTGTGTAATAAGCTATTTGGCTAATAAGACATCGTGGAAAGAGTTTTAAAAATAGTTGTACTACTTCAGATGTACATATTCAACAAGAATAGTTTTTCTTGGTTCACATTTCAGATCCACGAATATGCTTCATTGGAAGTTACTGGATTCTGGATCTTCTTGACAGATCTCTGTGAAAACGGAATACTGAGGCATAGGTATAACTTTGAGCTGCAGAACAAAACCAAGGTGAATAAACGGTGTAATTCAGGATGCTGAGAAGATCAATGCTATTTAATAATTGAAATCAAATAATATAATGTCCGACGAATACGGAGAATCATTTCGTAATTTCCACAATAGGGTGATCTCACATCGTAGTGATATAAAAACCAATAAGTAAAATAAATGCATGTGCACTTACAGACCATGCATTAACTTTGAACATTCAAGACGTGTTTTCTTGGAAATGTGTTTCATAAAATCTAGTATGTATTTCATAAATAAAATCTGGCATAGACAAATTGAGCGAAATTTATTGTTATTTACTGGAAAAACATCAAAAATAAAATAAATATTTACCTCTACATATACACGTCATAATATACCTGTATGCATAACATGTTGCATACCATTAAGACAGGTTTAAAAATTAAAAATTAAAATTACCCAGATGGGCCTCTTGGTTCTTGAAAAGAAATACAATATTAAGAACACCTAATTACATGTTATTTATATTCTTTTTCTTTCTTTTCTCTATGTATCAGAGTTAAAACACACCATCAAAAGCTGTCACAAACTAAGTTTTATTATCCTACCTAAATTTTAGAATCTATTTTGTCCATTATTTTATATTTTATATTTGTGTTAATGATGTTGAGTGTCAAAGCTTTTTATAAATAATCTCAACGACTAGTAAGTTGCACTGACGAATTGTGATATTTTGTAAATATTTACATATTCCTTTCGGAATAAAACAATTCCGAAAGCTAGACAAAAAGTCAAAAGAGTGTTTCTTTAACATCCCGGCCAAACTTCTGACTGCAGCCCCAATAAACTGGTTGTTTGTTTATATCGACAGTCACTAATATCCAGTATTTCTTATATATAATCACTCAAAGGTCACTGATATAATCCACAGAACTAAATATTTAAAATGGCAGTGGGCGGGACAATAAAAATTAATGGCAAACTAGAGTTAACATAGGTTATAGATTACAGATCTAAGAAAGATTACGAAATTGGCCTATCTCAAAGCATTATAAATACTTTTTTAAACATTTAGTAGCATGGAAATATATCTTGAGCAGAATATGGGACGGTTGGGCCAGACATTGTGACGTCACAAAATGGCGTCTGACAGCTGTAGATTATCATGTCAACTGCCAATTATTATTGTTTTCGCATCGTTTTTTTGGCTGTCAAAATTAATTGTCGAGGGAGCGCAAAAGCGTACCTAACTGTAATGATTCGACCGATCTAAGACGTCATATAGCATGAAGTAAAATAAATCATAAGGCCCGAGAGTCTAACATGGCTAAATTAGGACGCAAGGGAGTCTAACATGGTTAAACGGGGGAGGCGGGGGAGTCTAACATAACGGATACGTAGGGAAAGATAGGGGAGTCTAACAGCTAGATGGGGATGTGAGGGAGTCTTACATGGCTATATGGGGAGGTAAGGGAGTTTAATATGGCGAAATTTAGAGGCAAGGGTGCCTTAAATGGTTAAATGGTGGAGGCGGGGGGTCTAACATAATTTATGTATGAGATATGGGCCATCATACGTGAGTCACAGGTGTGACATTAAATTTTATTACTATCATGTCTTTGAACGAGTATATCTATAAGCTTATAAAATTTTATAACAAATTACCTCTAATAAAAAAACTTATTGTAACCATAAAGTACAAAAGTTTGTAATAAAATTTACTGAATTGTCATTTTTAGATATTGAAGTTTATGTAAAATGGTGCTAGAGGAAAATGTGCAACTTCTATTGTCTAACAGCGATATGTGTCATGTATAAGGCAGATAAAACAATACAATAGCCAATATAATAAAATATGTTTACGATTAATTAGCTATAAATAGCTAAAACCAATATTGAAAAGTAACGAATTGAAAAACGATAGAGGGATTGGGTGAGCAGACATAAAATTGTAAAAACATAGCGTGAGTCAAGCAACAGTTAGGGTAAGGTTCGCTTTTGCACTGCCTTGGTAATCCATTTTGACGGCCAAAAAAGAAGAAAAATTGACAGAAGGAAAAGAAGACGAGTTGACAAATAGTTGTGACACACTGTCTGGCCGAACCGTCCCATACTATGGGACATCATGCTATATACTATATGCTATCTTGGTACGTGTATATCTCAACATCGAAAGCGTTGATTCGGTATTACAAGATCTGCAGATCTTGATTAAGAAAAAGAAGTCAAGAAAGCACAATGATGATTTTGTTTGTTTTTTAGTGTTGATACCACTATTAAATAGCACTCCAATCCTAATTAGTTTACAAAGAATTCCATGTTTTGAGTATGTTCTGAAATATAGCATGTGTAAGTTTAATAAGAGTACTTCAGCAGCACTGTTGAGTAAATGTGTGATCGAATTTATTGCATAGCATACCTATTATAAATATAGTTTTTTGTAAATCGATATTATTTAAAGGCTCATCCTGTTGGTATTGGCATTTGCAAATATACATAATTCATATTGTTATTTGTATTTCATTTTAAAGTTATTATCATTTCGCAATATACTGTTAAACCTTCTACATTGTTTCAATTTAGAATATTAGTTTTTGATAGTAAACAAAATGGTCAAATATTTACGTGTTTCGCATTTGAATTGATGCTGATCACCTGATTTGCTTGAATCGATTTCATATTTTTATTTATAAAATTAGTGTGCCAGAATCTCATTTAATAAATAAAAATAATAATTTAAAATATCAGTGAGTATAAATCAAATTATGTCAAAATTAGACAACAAAAATATTATTAATTACACCACTTTTTTTAATAAGTACTAGTGTGACTATAAAATTATACAGAGTCATCGAAAAGACAACATAACTAAAGCATACCTTGAAATAATTGGGAATAATCCATAATTTTACTTTAAAATAGGTTTCTGTTGACGTTTGTATGAATAGTAAATTCAGATTTGAGAATAAATCTAATAATAAAAGTAGTGGATGGACGACTGTTTTGTTGAAGATATAAATATTTATGGTGGTTGGTAAATACTGATAAAATATAACAACGTTAAAAAATTAAATAAAGATAAGAGCATTAAAATTTTACATTGTGCCTCATTTATTGGTTTCATATGTCCTAACCTATTCCTTGCACTTCCTCTTGGTCCTTTTAGGACCAGTGATAATTATTATAGAATTTATGATTTGTACAACCGGGACAAAATACCGGGACGCCGGGACCGATGTCTAAAACCTGGATGTATGGGAAGCGTATTTATGTGTGTATATGTGTTTATGACATGTGTTGTTAGCCAAATCTCTGACGAGGTGGAAGAAGAACCTGATATACTTACTCGAAAATGAAGTAAGACAGGCTATCAACAAGCTCAAATATAACAAAGCACCAGGTCCAGATATGATAACAGCAGAAATGCTTAAAGCCACAGAAGAAACCGGCGTAAAGTTACTTCATCTACTCTGTAACCAAATATGGCATTCCAAACAATGGCCTGAAGACTGGACAAAATCTACAATAACGACCATACATAAAAAAGGCAGCTTCCATAAATGCGACAATTATAGAACTATCTCTCTTATATCTCATGCCAGCAAGATAATGCTACATATAATCAATGAGAGACTGAAAACATTCCTTCAAAGAGAAATTCCACAAGAGCAAACTGGATTTACCAAAGGTAGAGGTACTCGAGAACACC